AACATCTTTCTCTGATCACCAATCCGTGAAAGCTTTCTGCTTTACTTCAACAGTCACCCAATACATTCACCCAAATAAACTGAGCAACTGACGCAATCTGGAATATAGTACAGCTGCAAGTTTTGTTTGATGTACAACCCTCTGAGTCCATCAGAGATGACTCTTGGTTCTTAAGTTTATTTTCTCTATTTTAAATAAATATTAATACGCAATTAAGTGTATACCATACTTCACAAATATCATTAATACTTACCCCTTATTCCAAATCTTTCAAACAAACAAAATCCTCCTGAGCCTGAAACTTAAGGCCTTCTGTGACCTGGCCCAGATCATCATTCTAGACATATTTCTCACCAAATGTTCCCTCTTGGTGTGGGGGAAGGAGGAAATAATCTAGTTATCATAGCAGGCTTTATGTTAAACTATCCAGGTTCGAGTCTGAACTCCATATGTAGTAGTAGCAAAGCTGGACAAACCACTGAGCTGCTTTGTTTTCTCACACCTGTAATCCTAGCATTTTGGGAGGCTCAGGTGAGAGGACTGCTTGAGCCCAGGAGTTCAAGACCAAGTCTAAGCAACATAGCACAATCCCTTCTCTCCAAGGGAAAAAAAAAACAAACAAAAATTAGCCAGGCATGGTGGCATGCACCTGTCGTCCCAGCTACTCGGGAGGCTGAGATGAGGTTACTTGAGCCCAGAAATTCAAGGCTGTAGTGCACCTTGACTGTGCCACTGCACTCCAGCCTGGGCAACAGAGCGAGACCTTGATTCACGCAGTCAATCAAACAGAAATAACACCTGTCCTGCTCATCACAGTGTCAAACAAGACAGCTAATGGTAGGGCTCAAACAAGGTGGTGTCAGCAAATTGTGTGAGCAACAAGTACTGCGCAAACAGAAGGGGTAGGGACACTTGTGTTTGCACATGCTCCTGCCTCTGCCCTTTGTGTCATGTTTCTCTGCCTTGAAGACCCCATCCCTTCTCTTTTACCATTCGCTCACTTGCTCGTGTATTAACTAACCCAACACACGTTAATGGAAGGCCTCCTGAATGTTGGCCCAAGGGATGCAGAGGCGAGGAAAATTCGACCTGTTCAGCCCTCATAGAACGTGCGGTCTCTTATGCACACACTGTAACTGTCAGCCTGTCTACCTGCCAACTGGTGGGGCGAAACCAGAGCAGGGACTGTGTTGTTCTAGCCCTGATTCTCCAGTTCCTGCCATGGAGCCTGATTTGTCATCAGTGCTCCAAAGTGTTGAATAAATGAGTCACAAGCTTGCTCATGCCTTCCTGGTTGAGAGGATGCCCCTGACTTGCTGGGAGTACAGCAAAGGCCTTGATCTGGGACGGACATCATGAGAAAGCTGTTCTTTGGTTACCACGGTACCATAACACCAACTTTCTGGGAAGGCGATAGTAATTAGTTGCGTACTGACTCCATTCCAGACACTTATTAACTATGCATGCCTCGTTTTACAGATGAGGACATTGATGCTCAGAGAGGTTAAAGTGAATTGCCTAAGGCCATTCATTAAGGCAGAGGCAGAGCCAGGATTTAGAAGCATACCCTGAAGCCTGCCCCCCACCCCTTTTTTTGAGTCGGAGTCTCACTCTATCCTTCAGGCTGGAGTGCAGTGACTCGCTCACAGTCACTACAGCCTCGACCTGCTGGGCTCAGGTGATCCATCTACTTCAGCCTTCCAAGTAGCTGGAACCATAAGCTCATGCCATCATGGCTGGCTAATTTTTGGATTTACTGTAGAGATGAGATCTCGCTGAGTTGCCCAGGCTAACCTTGAACCCCTGGGCTCAAGCAATCCGTTTGTCTCTGCCTCCTAAAGCGTTGGGATGACAAGCATGTGCCACCGTGCTTAGTGAGCCTGCACTCTTAACCACTCTGTACTACTGCCTCCAGAAACAACCACAAAGGATAATGGAGGTGTCTACACCAGGAGCCAATGTTAGAATCCGAAAAGCTTCAGGGGCATGATCCTGTCGCCCTCTAAGACCTGCTGCGCTCCTCACCTTCACATAATGTTCCTGCCAGAATGGGCGCACAGGACCAGCCTGCAGAGCTAGAGAGTCCTGCTATTGTAGTATGGCGAGAAGCTCAGTAGGCTGGGAATGTTTACCTTGGAAAAAAGAATTGTGGGGAACAAGATACTAGCTGTAGAACATGCAACAACTACCTCAAGGACACAGGATGATATATTTCTCTGCAACTTCATAAGGCAGAACTTGGCTGACTTCCCACCAATTAAAGCTCTTTGGAACGGAAGGCTCTCTTACAGGGACAGTGGGAGGAAGAAATATGAGGACTCGTAGAACTCCAAGAAGATATCTGTAGACCCAGTTTAGGAAACGCTGTATTGCTTTGCTTTGGGCGATCATTCTGGACCAATGTGACTGTAAGCCCAAACATGAGCTTAGCCATCAAAATGAAGTATGGCTCATCTAAAAAAAATGTGATCACATAAATGCAAAATCTTTTTTAAAACATAAAATTTCAATTTTATTATAGAGAAATCATGGATCCTACAACGTCTAAGTGAGGATTCTAACTTGAAATATCCTGAGAGAGAAGGAGTAAGAGCCTCTTGATTTCCTTCTAATGCTGAAATTCTCAAAGGTACTGGCTTCCAGAATCTGAACTCTCACTTGCATCCTGAGCTGGGTCATGACAGTCACGTTACTTGGCTACCTCCCAGAAAGGCTTTTCACTGAGCAAAAACTGCTCAGTCTGCACTAAAATATAAGGCAGTGTCTTACTTATGCTTTGAACCTCAGGACTGGCAGAGCCCACAGAAACCAGCAGCTTCATTCCCTGCAACCAGCCTTCCTTGGCCCTGCTTCCTTGGCTTTCATTTAACCTCTGCATATCTGTGAGGAAAGAAAACAGAGCTGACCATTAGAATTCCAGACATGAGATCTGGGCCAAGCTCTGCAACTGGGTGTGTGTGTGTTGCGGGGAGGACGGGGTGCTGTAAGCTCAACTTTCTTCAAATTCCCTTCTCTGTCTACTTCACAAAGCCACAGGAGCTAAAGCAGGGGAAACCTTTAGAAAAGGCAAATTCTAGCTGGACATGGTGGCTCACACCTATAATCCCAGCACTTTGGAAGGCGGAGGCAAGAGGATTGCCTGAACCCAGAGGTTTGAAACCGTCCTGGGCAACTTGGTGAGGCTTCATCTCTACAATAAATAAAAAAATTAAGCCGGGCTCGGTGGCTCAGCCTGTAATCCCGCGCCTTTGGGAGGCTGAGGTGAGTGGATTGCCTGAGCCCGCGGGTTTGAGACCCGCCTGGGCAGCGAGACCTCATCTCTACAATAAATCAAAAAATCAGCCGGGCGTGGTAGCGCATGCCTGTAATTCCAGCTACTGAGAAGGCTGAGGTGGATGGATCACCTGAGCTCAGCAGGTCAAGGCTACAGTGGCTGTGAGTGTACCACTGCACTCCAGCCTGGGAGACAAAAGAGGCCAATACCGCCGCCCCCCCAAAGGCAAATCCATCTAACACATGTAAGCCTTTATTATTATGTGTCCCCTTCCCCTGGAGCTGCAAATACGGCACCGTGGTGACAGTGGTCTTGGTCCTGGAGTGATGAGTGTGGAGACAGCTCTGAGACTGAGTAGGCATCTTTGACTGCGTTCCAAAGTCAAATATAAATGCCTGGGGATTATCTGCTGCTTGGAGCCTATTTCCTTCTGTTCCTGCCACTGGTAGAAACACAAGAGTTGGCTATATTTAGCTCTGTTTTGAGTTTTCTTTCCCTGAGTCAGAAGGGAATTGTTTCTTCCCGCCCTACCCTTCTTCCTATGTTGAGAGTTTCCCAGAGGCAAAGATCATGTCTCTTTTTTAGGCCATGGAGCTCTCTGATGGCAAAAGCAGCCCGTTCCTCACTACCCACCACATCCAACCTGAATAGGCGGCCCCTCAGCATGGGAACCAGGTCTTTGGGCGGACTCAGGTGAGGTCACTCAATTTGCAGGAGGGACCCCCAGGGACCGAACTCAATTAGGGCTACAAACAGATTTCAATGTTGCAGTTACCTACTCCCCCTCCCCCAGAATATACACTGGAGTTCTAGTTTTTTTTTTTTGTTTTGGGGTTTTTTTTTTTTTGGTAGGAATCTCACTCTGGTGCCCAGGCTGGAGTGCAGTGGCAAGCTCATGGCCACTGCAGCCTCGACCTGCTGGGCTCAGGCGATCCTTCCGCCTCAGCTTTCCAAGTAGCTGGAACCACAGGCGTGCGCCACCACGCCCGGCTGATTTATTTATTTATTTATTGCAGAGACGAGGTCTCGCCAAGTTGCCCAGGCTGGTCTCAAACCCCTGGGTTCAGGCAATCCTCTCGCCTCGGCCGCCCAAAGTGCTGGGATGACAGGCTTGAGCCCCCGTCCCGGCCTGGTAGTTACCTTCCAATACCTGATTTCCTCGGGCAGAAGGTCCATGGGGGCAGACAATGGGACCTTAGCGGCGGGAAAGACTCCAGGGGGCCTGGGGGACAACAGACCCGGATTCGCACACGATTCGCCACTGACACGCCGTGTGACTGCGCAGGGTACCAGCCTCTCCGGGCCACGTGTTTCGTCTGCCGCAAAGGTGGATCCTAATGGCACCCGCCTTCAACTCTGATCGCGAAGATTGAATGAGACGATGGACCAAGAGCCTCGCCCCGGGGCTTGGCATGGAAGTGCTCACTAGAAGGTCGAGGCGGAGAGCGCTTGCAGGGACGACAGGACCAGGCGGGTGGAGGCGCCGGGCGGAGGCCGAGGTGCGGCCTGGCGTCCCGGCTCGGGGTCTGCACTCCGCACGCCACGATCCGCAGCGCCATGAGGTCCTGGACTGCCAGGGACGGGGGCTGCCCGAATCCCGAGCGAGGACGGCGGCCAGGCGCCCCCCGCCGCCTTGCCTTTCTGAAGGAAGGCTCCCTCCAGGAAGGCCCGGGGCATTCGGGCTCCCAGCGAGTCACACCCGCAGGCCTCATGCTCTCTCACTTACCCGGGAAAGGCAACGGTCCTTAACGGCAGCCGATAACGGCTCACCGGCACTAGCGAGGGCTGGCTGAAGTCAAACCTCGGATTTTGGAGCCTCCACGCCCGAAACCCCAAACCCACATCGAACTACAACTCCCAGCAGGCTACGCGCGGCCGCCCGGGTCGGAGAGGGTCGGTCCCACCAACCTCGCGGCCCTTCTTTCCTCAAAGCGAGGTCGGACGCCTAGGCTTCCGGGTATGGCTCCCCCCTCCCTCACCTCGCCCCCGCCAGAAAGCCACCCCTCAAGATTTCTGGGTATTGTAGTCCACTTTGTTTCGGTTTCCCGGGAAAGAGCCGCTCCTAGAGGTAGCTCCCTGCGCCATAAAACTACAAATCCCAGAATGCAGCGCGAGTCCCCCTCGTCCAATAAGAATTCCCCATGTAGCGGGGCGCGGAGCCCGGCTCTCGCAACTCAAGATGGCGGACGAGAGTGAGACAGCAGTGAAGCCGCCGGTACCTCCGCTGCCGCAGATGATGGAAGGGAACGGCAACGGCCATGAGCACTGCAGTGATTGCGAGAACGAGGAGGACAACAGCTACAACCGGGGGTAACGAGATCCTCGGAGTCTAAGTCCCCTCCAGTCTCCCACAACCTGGGTCTCTGGGGGTGCGGGGAAGTCACTGGGAGCTTAGCCTAGCCCCACCTCCATATTCTTATTGGCTGAGACGTTGGGATCTTGCCTGGCGATTGGTTGCTGCCTTTGTCAATTACCAGGGGTGGGTGCCCAGGATATTAAGGGCCGGAGACATTCAGTACTTTTATTATATAAAAGTTATTCTATGTAATGTTCCACTCTTGTGCTTCAGGCCCGTCCTGGGAAAAGAGCATGTGGGACGATAGTTTTCGATGGCACAACACGAGACCGTCTAGTAACAGTACAGTTCAAAGGGAACGTTACTTAGAGAGGTGATGTGTGAACAACGTGACTAGCAATAAACGAATAATAAAACATTTCGCGGCAGTTCCCCTTCAGTGAGGAAATTCATCAGGCTATTTAAACTTTGTATGTAATTACGTTGTAAAATGTCACTACCCGAGAATCCAAAATATAAACTCACCTTATAAATCCTATGTAATTATATGATAATGTTTTGATGTATACGGTGTCTGTGGCTCCAGATAATCCATAAGTTTCCTGAACAATAGATAATTAGTTCTTCCAACATCTTTGCCCTGTTCACTCCGCGCAGTAGCCTCAGGCTTCAAGAAACTGAGTGATGATGTGTCTTGGGCAATATTGGGAATCTGTATCTCCGGTACTTCGGGGCCTTTCCGTGAGTAACTGTTCCGAGGGATGAAGAAATGCACCAGGAGTTGGAGTGCTGAGTTCTTTTTCCAAGTCAGTTTTTACTTCGGATAAAGCCTATCATTCCACAGCCGATCACTCCTCTTTCTTCACTCTGTCAGTGTCTGGCGCTGGCATTCTTTCTCCCCCTCGCTTCTATCTATATTTACAGACATATTTTTAAACTGCAAGTCGTGAGAGATTTTTGGGTATATAACTCTTGCTGCGTCTGATTTTCATAGCCGGCTTGTCATCTGCAGTAATGGTGGGTAGCCTGCTTCTGACGTGAAGTTTGAGGTCTTCAGATGAGCTTTTTTCCCCTGCTATTCTGAAGAAATGGGAAGAAGAGTATTACAGTCGTACACTGCACATGGACTGCATATATGCAGGTGGTCCCATATGATTATAATGGTCAATTATTACAGTTTTTATTATAAGGTTATAATCTTGTTCTATACTATGATACTTTTTACTGTACCTTTTCTATGTTTAGATACACAAATAGCATTGTGTTATTGCTGCCTATAATATTCAGTATGGTTACATGCTGTACAGGTGTGTAACCCAAGAGCAATAAGCTATACCATACAACCTGGGTGTTTATTTGGCTGTACCACCCAGGGTTGTGTAGGTAACACTCTAAGATGTTTGCACAAAGATGAAATCGCCTAGTGATACATTTCTCAGCACATATCCCTGTTGTTAAGCTAAGCCTGGCTGTATTTAAGTGGTTTATAATCTGCTTGTGGAGAATTCTAGGTTGAAAAATCTAGCTGCTGTGTTCTTCAGCCGGTGTTAAAAATCACAAGAAGAACGTAGAAAAAAGGAACCTTCCCAGATTTTTATGACTGTGTTCTGTCGCTATAAGTCATGACAGATCTAATGTAATAAAAGTGTTATTTTGGAGTTTGGTATTCCTAAAAATGGAAGAGCTGAGAAAGAGGAAGTAGGAACAAGAGGAAGGAAAAGTGCAGCCCTCCTGAATAGAGATCCGGATTACAGATGAGAGTTGTTGAGCATGAAAGTCATTTCAGAAGTGAAAGTATGGCGTTTTCTTTGCTCTTACTTAGTTGCTTTTATTTTTCTCCGATTAATCGTTGCCCTGACCAGTATCCTTAGCCATTTCATTGGTTTTGTTTCCTGGAATCTGTGAGTTACTTTGCAAAACTGTTTGCCAGAGAGTTCTTTGTTATATTTGTAGTACAACAAAGTGATAACCTGGGAAAAAAAACTTTAGGAGTGTTTGTTGTTTTTGTACATGGTTATGGTCTGGGTGAAAAATATACATTTATTAGCATCTCAAATCTGAAGGTCTATGAAAATGAGGTTGGCAGTGGCAGGTGAGAAACAGAGGACTGAGTCCAGAGAGGAGGGAGGCTAATTCTGACAGAATCTGGGGTAGAGTCAATGTATTCCCACTAGCTTTCGGAGGAAAGTGGTTTTGGGGCACTGCAGCATGGCGTGGTAGAAAAGCATGGACTTTGGAATCATTTATGCCTAACCTTAAAACCTGGTTCTGACACTAATAGTCCTGCGACCTTGGGAAGGGTACTTAACCCAAGTTGTGTAGGGATCAAATGAGATAACATCTGTAATGCAGCCCTCCTCTTTCCCTTCTTCAGACCTTCCCTGATCTCCCAGCCCGTCCCCTGCTCTTTTCACGGACAGACTGTATTCTTTGTAGCTTTTACCATAGCAGTGGGCAAAGAAAATATTTGACAGTTTTGCTCACTGTGTCCAGTCCCTGTCTCACTGCCTGTAATGTGTCTGAGAACAGGATTGTCTTGGAGATTCCTGGTGCTGCAGGGCATTCATGTGGACTTGCTGTATGCATGAGTGCAAGGGTTCAGGCGCTTGGCCGGTGATGGAGTTTCTGTTCCCTTGCCGAGTAGAAGGACACCGTATTTTTCTTGCATACACATTGTCTTTCCCCAAATGTCTCCTTATAAGCCTTACTACAATTTTTGTGCAGTATCTCCAGAAACCAAGGAATCTCCAATTTGTGGTGGAAGTTTTCCACTTTTTTTTTCTTTTTGAAAAGTTTCTTGTCTTTACTTGGTATTATTTAAAATGTTTTTGAAAGTCATGTAAGAATTGACAGGGAGTTTCTCCTTTCAGTGCTAGAGACTCTTTTTTTTATTTTCATTTTTTTTGAGTCAAAGTCTCACTCTGTCGCCCAGCCTGGAGTGCAGTGGCACGCTCATGACCACCGCAGCCTCGACCTGTTGGGCTCAGGCAGTCCTCTTACCTCTGCCTCCCAAAGTGCTGGGGTTACAGGCGTGAGCCACTGCGCCTGGCACTAAAGATTCTAAAATACGATATACAATAAAGGTTAATGGTAGTTAAAACTAATCCTTATTCTCGTAGATCTTTTTTTCCCCAAGAACTAAAGTTCTCAGTGCATTACACTAATGAAACGAGCCACATTCATGTGCTTGATTAACAAGAAATGCAGTTGTGTGAGTCTCTTTGTGTATGAGTTTAGTTCTTGACTTTTCTAGTCTTGAATTTCCTCCATAATTAAATAAGTGTAAACATTTTGTGAATATACAACTTCATGTATACATACAAATATATATGTATGGACTGGGTGTGATAGTTCACACTTGTATTCTCACCACTTTGGGAGGATTGCTTGAGGCTAGGAGTTTGAGACTAGCTGGGCAACATAGACCTCATCTCTACAGAAAATACAGGCACATGGTGGCATGTGCCTGTAGTCCCAGCTACTTGGGAGACTGAGGCTGGAGAATCTCTTGAGGCCAGGAGTTGGAGGCTGTGGTGAGCTGTGATCATACCATTGCACTCCACCTTGGGAGGCACACTGAAACCCTGTCTTTTCTAAAAATATGTATATATACCCGCATATACAGACACGCACACATATGTGCACGTGTATACACATACTGAGTATATATGTGAATAGATATGTATCTGTGTAAGTGTGTATATAAGTGTATATATGCATCAGTTTCCCCAGTTGCTTTCCCAGTGTAAATTACCCGGAGCAATTGACAGGAGAGTCAGAAGACTAAGCAATTCTTTATGCTGCATCCGCCTGTAGTTCAGGATTCACCTCTATGGTTTAATTTGCTTGGTTTTCTTTTTTTAATGAAAAGCTTTCCAAAAAGTATTGCTAAAGAATAAATATCAGCTGGCAGCGGATTTTAATTTTGGGACAACAGACAAGTAAAGCTTGGGTGTTTTGGACAAGCAAAGGCTTTTAACTATTGTGTTCTTTTGGATTCTTTTGGATTCTTTTAGTTTGTACTGTTTCGCTATCAAGATGCCGGTAAGCCACGGGTCAGGGGCCTTTGTATGGAGCCGTCTCATTTCCATCCTGCCCTTTGACTCTGTGGGACACGTTCCAATGGTTCTTACACGTTTTCCTCACTTTCTGATCATAGATGTCATCCTTTATAAAGAAACTGAAGAGAACAGAAAGGTCTTTTTGAAGGTAAATGCCATAAAGCTGGTCTTCCTTGCTTCAGTGTTCTCCTCAAACTCCTGTAAGAGTCGTTCCTTTTGGTGTATGTGGTTGGCTGAGGAGCCAATGGGGCGAAGCTACCGTCTGTGGGATTATGACTGAACGCCTCTAAGTCAGAATCCCGCCCGGGCGGAACGATACGGCAGCGCCGCGGAGCCTCGGTTGGCCTCGGATGGCCTCGGATAGCCGGTCCCTGCCGGCGGGACGCCCCTGCCGCGCGCCGGGACCGGGGTCCGGTGCAGAGAGCCCCTCGTCCCGGGACACGGGGCGCGGCCGGAAAGGCGGCCGCCCCCTCGCCCGTTCACGCACCGCACGTTCGTGGGGAACCTGGTGCTGAGCCATTCGTAGACGACCTGTGCTGGGTCGGGGTTTCCTACGTAGCAGAGCAGCTCTCTCACTGCGATCTGTTAAAGTCAGCCCTCGACACAAGGGTTTGAAAAAAGAGAGAGAAAAAAAGAGTCGTTCTTCCCTGCCGACTTGATGGCTCATAGCTGCATCTAGCTCTTGGAGAGAAACGTTTTTATTCCCTTTTTCCTAATTTCTCCCTTCAGCTTTTGGTTTTTCAAAACTAGATCAAGGCAGAGTGAAAAGAGAAACCTCATCACTGATATCAAATAAGTGTTCTAATTTTGTTTCCCAATTAAGTGGCAATTAAAAAGACACTAATCAAGAGCTGCTTCAAAGAGAAGAAACTGGAAAGTGGAAGAAATGGAGGGTAAATGAGGGCCTATTTCGGGGCTCCTGCTGCTCATGGCAGAGCAGTTTTGCTGAGTTT